ACATATATATATATATATTATATATATATATATATATATATATATTTTTAAATCACATGTATTCTTTGCTATCCGCAGCTGATATTTGAGACCTTGTCCAGCCCCACGACACCGACACCGCGACTGCTGCACGCTATTGTGAGCCTGCTGCTTGTCATGTGGCAGTCCACAGCTGACTACAGGTACGTACATGAACGGTGTACATGAAGTGAAATGCATATATATATATATATGGAATACCTGTAGACACGCACCCCGACAATGGAATGGTGTCAAATAACGTATAACCCTACACTATACTTTCATTCTTCCATACTAACATAACAACATACTATCATACTTCCATACTACCATATTACCATACTACCTGAACAGGCCCCCACACAACCCATTCATACTAAGCTTCTTATTGTGTGTTGTTTATGGGCATGTGGTCACACCCCATTACTGAAATTACATAAGGATATGTAAGAGAATATAATGCATAAACATTTTTCTACTGACTGCTATTAACAGATCTTTGGTTACACTCCACTCGTAGCAGACTGCGAAGATACGGCAACTATTCTAACAAACATTCCTGAACATATCGTGATATACTCGCCTTCTCATTGGCTGCTATTTATAGACATATGGTCGCACTAGTGGTGAGAATTACTCGACCACATATTCCTCGACTACCCACTCCCCACGCACACACCCATACTCACCATCTCATTGGCTGCTATTTATAGACACGTGGTCGCTCTCCGCCAATGGGACGGTGCCAAGATATGGGAACTCCTGGGCGATCTGATGGACGAAGATGATCATGCACTCATATTCGAAGACGTTGAGATCCAAAACGCTGCCGATGTTGAACACGTGTGCTATCTCACGGCCACAAGAGGGGTTGTGGTGGACTTAGTCGCATTGGAGCTATACGCCAATTTCCAACGCGCACGTACAGGTGAGTGGTACATGTGTTGAAATGAACCCATATACGTGTAACTACTTGTATATGC